TCGGCCAGCTGTTTGTGGGGTACATGGAGGAGATGGCGAAGTAGCGGAGAAATGTTGAAGATATAGCAATATGCATGTGTTCTTCGGGACACTCCACGAAGTAAAACTGCCTGGATTTGCCCTCCACTGATCACGACTCACGAAAAGCCGACCTTGCTCTAACACCTCTAATTTTCGCCCCGACGCCGGCCCCACACTTATCAAGACGCCCAGCTCGAACTATCAATTAGACTGGCATACATCCTACCCTAGCTCCCTTCCGCCGTAAAATACTAAAACTTATAGGAATTGGGATAATCTGAAATTGGTTCAGAAAAATGAAGAAAGATGAAGAAAGAAAAATCAAAACGCAGCAAGACTAGTGTTACTGAAGAAACCTAAATTGATTGAAATGTTTGAAATGCTAATCAACCAATAAAAAAGTATTCCTGTCAGAAGTGGGATTCGAACCCACGCCTGGAGAACCAGACTGCGACCTGAACGCAGCGCCTTAGACCGCTCGGCCATCCTGACGTTGTTGAAACAATCTGAATGGGACGTTGCGATTTCCGAAGGATCGTCGATGAATCGTCATCATCATCGCTCTTCCTAAGAATGGCATAAACAGTAGTAGACCGAACATGCAACCTTGCGGCACACCTCAGGATGTAACAAGTAGAATACTTCATATATCATTACACCCTGCTTACGGGAAGCACTGTGATGCAGTCTATCCATTTATTCAAAGTGCTCAGCACCGCGGACACAATTCCAGGGAGTGTCAATAACAACGTTAAAGTGTTTTAACACTTTAAAAAGGCTTTCTTCAAATGTTGTTATATTCCACCAATCCACAAAATGAACACGCCACCCCAATCTGACACGCTTAGACGATTACAATCGCTAAGCAGGGCCGCTGCTTAGTCGAGTCTGTCGACTAAGCACCGTAGGCTCATGGTCCAGCCTACGCGCTTAGCGACAAAATCACATCATTAAGCTAAGCGGATCTAGAGCGGCAGGAGCCGCGAAGCCTCACGGGATCGGGGTCCGGGTCACCGCAGCGGCCAGGTCACGGCCCGGCATACAGCCGACCGTTCTGTACACAGTACGTCTGGAAACTTCGCTACGCCACGCATATATACATTCTACGTCAACTATTTTACAGGTAAGTGTTGCTCCAGGTTATGATTTCAACTTGGGCTGACATGGGATTCGGAAAAAGCTCAAACAGTAACTAAACTTGGCTGTTAAAAATGATATATAATAAATGGGGGAGGGGGGCAAAAGTCAGGTTTGAATGAGGGTACGGCTTTGCGAAAATCTGAACTAGGAACTAACGTAAGGGAGGGTTTGAGCTAATCTCGAAAAGGAACTATAGGGAGGGCTTGATTCCGAGCAAATCTGCACAAGGAACTAGCAGAGCCCGACACACTCTTCTCTGCAGGTAACATTGAAAATTGGAATTACCACACAGCTCCAAATTATCTGGATACTAGATAAAAGGGCCACACAGATATTACCTGTGCGGTGCCTTACCTGGTCCCCAGATAAAAGGCTGACACAGATATTACCTGTACAGAGCCATATCTGGATACCAGATGAAAGGGCCACACAGATTTTACCTGCAGGGTGCCTTGCCTGGTCCCCAGCTGAAAGGCTGATACACTATATTACCTGTATGGTGCCTTACCTGCATACCAGATGAAAGGGCCACACAAATATTACCTGTATGGAGCCTTACCTGGCACCGTGTACCTGGTCCTGGATACCAGATGAAAGGGTCACACAGATATTACCTTACCTGGTTCACATATGAAAGGGCT